AAATCTTATTTTGTTTATCTAACTTTGTTATACAGTACGTTTCTATTGTACCACTATTATAGTATTATGCATTTATGCTTTTACAATTAGAGGCTCACAATCAAAATTTGTGTGTTCAAGCATTGATCCAATGTTAACTAGTTTAGGGACTATAACATTGTCGCGAGCAGAGCATACCACTGGATTATCCCACTGGAGAAGTGATCCAACAAGATTTGCGCGTATGGTTAGTGGGAAGATCCGGGGCCATCTTTCACTTCCATATTCCTGGAAAGCATCATCAACGGAGGTAGGTCCTGATTTGATTGCGCTTGCTAGTTTACTTGCTAGAACTACTGCATCCTCTAATGCACAACAAGCGCCTTGCCCAAGATTGGGTGTCATTGGGTGCCATGCATCCCCAACCAGAACGACTCTGCCTGATGAGGCAGGAGGGCTTGCCACTGGCCAAAGCCAACGGTCTACAAGTGGAGTTTTAATGACTGTTTCATCTGGGGTGATATCAACTATGTTCAGTAGCTCCGCAGGCCAGTTTCTTAGAAGTTCTTTAGCTTGCCTCTTCAGCAAAACCGGATCGGTAATCTTTGGACCTGCAACAAGACATGTCCTAGATTTGTTAGAACATTTTTGATAAAAAGTTTACCTTCTGTGACTTTGTCTTGGCTTAAGTGAAATAGAGAAGATGAACCTGGTACCTGGAGATTGACTGTTGTAGCAGATGAACCAGTAAACTTTGGTTGATGATACTGGTACATATCCAGCACGCAAACCTCTTCCATAGATGTAGTTAACCCTGGGTTCATATGGCTGCCCGTCCGGATAAAATGCCAGACCCCGGAAAGCACAATGCCCTACATACTTTGGTTCAGAGAACCCCATCCATTTGGCCACTAGAGACCGAATCCCATCACAACCAATAACAATCTGTTGATGAAACGGGAAAGATTACCAGAATTCTGAATTAACGAATCAAGTCTGGCACTAAAACAACTGTGAATATATTATAAGAAAATGGAGATTGGGTTATTTAAAGTAACCTTTGCAAGCAATCTAGTGCCATCCATGAGTTCCAGAAGAGTTTCATTTTTAACTGCTTCAATCTTGGCTAACTTTGATGAAAAAGTGATTGCTTTTGGCGGCAGTTGATCGGCAAGAGTCTCCAGAAGTACTCTTCTCTCGACGGCACGAACTTCCTGGCTGCACCAAAATCGTTTTCTATACAAAGTAAAAGGGAAAAACAGGGAAATTAGAACAACACTGAATTTGAAGATGAGGGTACCTTTGATCTTCATCTTTGAATTTGAAGGATCGCAACTCCCTTCCATCCTCTGCCTTCACGACCATCCTGCACAGCTGATTCCATGAACAGGAGTAATACTAGTTGAAAATATGGTTTCGTGGCAATCTTTGAATTTAACATGATTGGTGAGAATGTAGTCATATACCCTTGAATTTCGACGAACTGGCTCCGGAGATCGCTCCCTACACCAATCGCATCCAGTACCCTCCATCCATTCTTGAAAAGGGTCAGTGAGGTTCCACCAGTTCGAAGCGACTCCGCTTGCTCAAGCACCACCGACCGAATCCCAAGTCTGAAGAAAACAAAATCGGGTAACCTCCCGGAGCAATTCGTGAATTGGGACATTGAAAGTTTGCTACTTTTTTAGGGATTTACCTGTGAAGGGACACTGCAGTGGCAAGGCCGGCAATCCCTGCTCCGACGATGACAATATCTTCCTTCTGCATACCAGCTTCGGCTCTGGTAATCGATACGGAAGCGGGTTTGGTTCTGGTTCTGGTTCGAACACGAAACCCAGAAGGGCTCCGCAAAAATTCTCTGCTCCGGGAATTGTTCAAAGGTCGTGAAATAGGAGAGTTCAGGTACAGAAGAGATGAAGTGGCTATCACCATAGTTGTGCGGTGGCGGCGCCGCAAAAAAATCAAGTAGCTTGCCCGACGACTTGGAGAGAGAAGAGAGAGATCATGTGAACCAGATTTTTCCCGGGAAAGATAACGTCCATTCCCGTTATTGATTTATTACCGGGGTAATTTATGGCTGCTGGGCTGGGCTTGTTTCTGAGATTCCAAACCCGAAATTTGGGCTGAGTATACAAGAATAATTAGGCCTTTATGTATACCGAGAAAAGCCCTGAAAAATAAAAGTACGAATAAAAGATGATCTTTTTTTTTTTTTCAAATGTCAACAAATAAAAGATGACCTAATTAGAAATTACTGAAAAAATGATTTGTGAGTATATTTTTTAAAGAGTATTTTTGCACCATGAACTTACAGAAAATAATCCAATATATTTCTTTACTCTCTTCGTTCATTTTTAATAGTATTACTTGATTTTTCTTTTTTTTTTTGCACTTGGGCCTTCGACTCAGTGATATCAAGCCACATATAAATACATTTTCTTTTTCTCAGAGTAATGGTTCGAATTTGACTCCATGCGAATTTATTAAAAAAAATAGTATTATTTGATTTTTTAAATTTATAAATTTAAATAAAATTTTAACAACTTATATGAATAATAATTTTAAAAAATTTTATATAAAGTTTTGTGGAGTATTTTTATTCAATTAAAAAAATTTTAATTATTATTTATATAATATATTAAATTTTCATCTAAAATCTAATTTTAAAAAGTTAAAAAATCAAATTAAAACTATAAAAAATAATCAATAGTAGTAAATCCAAAAGTTTATGTTGAATTAACCCCATAAGAATTTGAAATATATATTATGTATTTTGTGTTATTTTATTGGGAACAAAATTTTGCATTCTATTGCTTCAATTTCCTTAGAATTGGAAGTACATTGAGTATTCAATAAACAACGCATGCAAATCTTAAAAGTTAGATTTATTAGTAAGTTATTATAATTTTATAAGTTAAATTTAAGATTTAAAATTTGAAATTTGAAAATAGCTCCTAAGGAAATTATTCACCTTAAATGCGTTATGATCGTTAGGGAATAAATTAATGTTAAAATGCATGAAAGTTGACCTAAAAATATTTTAATTGCACTATAAATAAATAAATAAATAAAACCAAACACCACATGCAACCATGCTAATGATACCATGAATTTGATTGAAAATCATCACATCTCTATATCTACTTCTCATGATTAAGATTTGAAGAATAAAGTCACACGTGAATACATTAAAGAGAGTTGTTACGGATTGCTAAGTTAATAAACACTTAACGGCACGTTTGGAATGCAAGTTAAGATGGGACTAGACAAGACAAAAACAATAGGACAAGATATGATTGGATTGGAAAAGATAATATGAGTCTCATCTCATATTTGATATTTTTTTGAATTGTATAAAAAATTTATCTCATTTTATATTTAAAATTTTGTAAGATTATACAAGATAACTTCTACAAATTTTTTATATAAACAAAAATGCCCTTTAAATTTAAAATATTTGAAAACTTTGATTCACTTATTTAAATTTATTGAATAAAATATCTTTTAAAAATAA